TTTTGCCAAAACAGTTTGGCTCTTGTTTGGCAAGCTTCAGCCCGAACACCGCTGAAGAAAACAAACTCACCACAAGTATGCAAGAAGTGTGGTTTCAATACGAAGTCCTCCCACATGTCTGCAAGTGTTTGCATCACGCATTTTCCAGTATGTGTTGCATCCCCCAGACTCATGTTTCGAGAAACGCTAATTTGCAAAGATATCGGATTGATATCTGGAATCTATGATGCAGTCACTCCAAATAAATGCCAAGCCGTTGGCAGGTGATCCAACGAAGATCGGCAGCCTGAGAGTTTGGCAGCGCGAGAAGGGTACTGTTTAGACTGTTTACTTCTATGTTTCGACAGCTATACCCAGCCAAGCAACTAGCAATACCTCATGACCAAATCAAAGTGATTGCTGTTCGCCACTTCCATCCTCAAACCACATAATACATCAAACATCATCAAACCATGGTGGGTCAGAATCATGGACAACTCTCTGAAGCTCCAGCAGTACGATCTGCAGGTGGAAACTGTACGCAATCAGGTTTCGAAGCTTCCTAGGGTCTCCAGCGCTGGTTGGTGTCCCAGGTTCAAGTTACTCAGTGCCAGGTTCAAGTGTCGCAAGTTACCTAGGGTCCAACCTTGTTGCAGCAAAAAGGCATCATCCAATGCAACCTGTGTCAAGTCCTGGGAACCTTGGAAACGTTGTTGAAGGTTGCAGACCACGGACATGGAGCTTTCCTTCTCGCCAGCGTCCAATGAAAGACCATTGATCATTCGACACCTGGGTTGGCACCAAATGGACGCTTGCAAACACGACGCTTGCAAACACTCAGAACAAGGCAATGGAGACCACTCGGAGTCCCCAATAGCGTTCTGCGGCCGGCTTGCTATCCAAAGAGATTGCAAAAAGTGATTGCTAGTTCAAAAAATGAAAGGGCCTTCCGCCGCATCAGCACTGAACCAGTGTCGAAATCTTTCCTCACCTGAAGAGGAGATGTGAACGATTAGCAATCCAACCCCAAAGAAATAGACCATTCCCAATTCCCAATCTCAAGTTTCGAGCGAGAAGGAGACAACTTAGACAGCCCTTTCCAATCTGAGCTTGGTGCTCGAGATCTAGGCGTTCTAGATCTCGGTGTTTGAGGCTCCTGCATCGGGGTTGCACGATTTAGTGGATCTAGTGGATTGCACGATCTAGGTGTTCTAGTTGTTTGGTCCTGGCTGTCGGACATATGTGGGATGGTATACCACAAGGCCTCACCCAACTCAATCCCCAATAGCCGATGTGGGTGCGCAGCGATGACTTCACAATCGACCGAAATACTTTTGAAGGGTCCCATTGCAGTGAGATTTGAGGCAACCACAGCCTCCTGATCAAGGTCACCGAAGAAAAGCCGTGGCCTGGCAACGAAGAGACATGTCGCGAAAGATAGAAACATGTAACATGTATGTTTATGTTTGTCCTTTTAAACCTGGCAAATCACAACCTGGCCTCAAAATCTGGAGAGATCGAACCACAGGGCAAACGGCGACAAGCTTGAGATACAGTAGGCAAGAACATGGCATGTAGATCAGGAGTCAATTGAAACATGACCACTCCCTTTCCAGAACATGATCATGTGTGTGAAGACTGGTGGGTTTCATGTTCTTCCGAACGGTCTGCTGAATTGAGGGCAGCGCACTGAAGATGCGAACCCCCTCCGGCACCTGCCAGAACACACCCAAATCAGTCACTGCCCTCCTACCCATCCACGAATGGCAACTCTGGCTGGAAGCTTCACCCGGCCTCCGACCTGAGGTATGGCCCACGAAAGCTTTGGCACCGGCCTTTCGTTGCCGTGGGTACCGGGTGCAGGGTGGCTCATTGGCATGATCCAAATTCACGCACTATGATCTAGAATCAAAAGCTGAGTCCCTGACATAGAAATCCAACGATGAGCCACTTGTAGCACCACCGCGCGAGAGCTTGCTGTGTCCGGACACCGGGGGGAAAAAATATATACAAACGGTAGAACGTGTTACCAACACTTAAAATTGACACACAGTACTTGGACGATAATACTATTCTTTCATGTGTCTCCATCTTCCAGTGTTAGACCCAACGGCGCCGAATCACTGAACTCAAACAACGGTTTCAACAGCAGTGTTCACGCAACCGGTTTTTATGCTAAAAACTAAAAACAGTTTTCAACTGGACAGCCCGCATTGCACCCTAATCGCAGAAAAGGTCAGCAAGCACTGCCTCAAACATGGTCAGCTCATGCATGCGTTGGGTCAGCAAACTCTGCTGGCAACATGGCAACCATGGTCAGCAAACTCTACTGGCAACCATGGTCAGCAAACTCTACTGGCAAACATGACCAGCCAGCACTGCTGCACAAAGCAGTAAGCCAAAGCACTGGATACAAAGCAAACACCCGAAAAGAAGGAACAGAAAATTCTAGCGCACACTCTTTTGACACACTGAACATGATCATCCATGATGTGATTTCTTCAGCTCTCTCTCTCTCCTCCTGGCTGGAACTTTTCGAACTGGCTGCATGCCTCAACATGGCGAACGCTGTCCGAAGAACGCTGGCACCAGCACCCTCCACGGAGTTTGTAGGTTCAGATGTCGTTCGACAAACCACCCGGTACAGCCAGCCAAGCCTTCATAGCTTCATGACCTATCTGTGAGATTGGCTCCAGTCCTTCCCCTGATCTGGTTTGTCGTGGGTTTCCCGAAATTAACTAAACAATGGTGTCTTCACATCGTTTCGTAATTTGGGCCCAACAAACATGGTTGCTTGATGATAACAAACAATGTTTCTTTTACACACCAATGTTTCAGACATTTCCCAGCATTTTTCAATCTAACCATGTTGAATAAATATATATATATATATATGCAAGTGGATGCATATATCATATATCTTAGATAAGTAGTCTAGAAACAACCTGATGAAATCAATGAAGTTGGACTCGTTGGACAGACAGACTGACAGCACTGGGCGCTGAAGCTGAGACTGAAAAGGAAAAGACTGCGGCTGAAGCAAAGGCTGAGGCTGAAGAAAAGGAAAAAGCTGAGGCTGAAGCAAAGGCTGAGGCTGAAGAAAAGGAAAAGACTGCGGCTGAAGCACAGGACCCAAGCAAGGGCGAAGCCGTGCCCAACAGTGGCGAACTCCACCAAAATGCAATAGCCACTTAAGAGCGGTGGCCCCAACTGCCAATGGGGCAGAGGCCGAGGCAGTCGTCAGCCCATGTCCTCCCAATGTTCCTGCGGCCACCACTGTGCCTGAGGCAGAAGAAGAAGAAGCTCCAATCAAGGTTGACGCGCCACAAGCGGGGAGCTCCGCAGCAGCAGCAGAAACAGACGCAGCGGAACTGAGACCAGAAGAAGCGCCAAAACAAAGCGGAAATGTAGATCCGCCGAAAACCCCGGGAGAGGATTCGACTTCGAAGGTTGTCAAAGAAGATGGGAAAGGCCTGCCGCAGAAAAGAAAAGCTCAAAGTGATGCGGATGAAAAAGCAGGCGCGGCCAAGGCAAAGGCAAAAGCCAAAGCTGATCCCAAAGCAAAAGCCCAAGAGAAAGCAAGTTCCAGAAAGAGAAAAACTTGATCTGCCTCTACCCTATCCAAATGGTTTTGGGCAAGTTTTTGCTTGCGGGGAGTTCCGCAGTGTTGCCAAGCGGGAAGATCCGCGTAGAGCGGGTTGCGCCGCCCAAAGCGCCAGTTTCTTGTAGGTAGCAGAGCACATCTTAAGACTACCTGTGCACAACGCTCACCAGTTCAGCTGGAAAAAAGCGCCATCAATTGGGTGGGAAAACCTGGGTTAGAAAAGTGACGCCTGAGGTATGGCAAAAGAAACAGTTTCAGATAATCGAAGCATCATTTTTTCATTTAGGTGTCGAACCCTAAATCTCTGAATTCAACCTAATTCCATCAACTGGGTGTCCCGTTTTTCAACATCAAAGTAAAAAGTTGAAAACATACAGTTTTCAGTTTTTCGACCCTAACCAGGCCAGGGGAAGGACAAAGCCAATCTCACAGACCTATCCGGGAAGATCCGGGAAGCACGACCACCTGGTGACTACGGCAAAATCGTAGTGGGGGGTTGTCTTCCAGTCTTTGACGCATCAGTTGGAAAGATGTGAGTGGAAAAACCGACCACTCCAGAACGCCAAACAGCTGTCGGTCTTTTTCGGAGTTTTCCGGTGCGTCGCTCAGACCTGCAAGTGCGGCCTGGACTTGTCCCTTGATAAATCCCAATGAGGACGTGATACGGACGTGATTCAGAGGGGAAGAAGCTAAGGGCAGCACTACTAGTAGCAAGTGCGTCGCTATTAACAAGAAGCTACTAGGAAGCACGCCCAGTTCGGGTGGTTATTTGAACATGCATCTTCAAGGGGGTTATAAACCACCCGAACTGGGTGGTGCTAGAGGAAGCCAAAAAAGCAACGCAAAGTCATTCATTCCGATGGATTCGTTCCTTCAGTCCTGCAGCATCGGGCTGTGGATGGTCACCCATGGGCACCTGAGCCATCACCTCCTTCGAGTTTTTGGAGAAAAACGACCCAAACAGACATCCCGGGGCTTTTAAAGCGGCTTTGCCTTTATCAGATTGTTCAAATTCGTTGAGTCCGATAAGTAAGGCTTTAAAGTTTAATTTCGGAGGCCTGCAGTGGCGCGCGAGAATTCGTGACCAGGTTTCCGAGATGGACCATGGTTGGTGTCATGTTTTAGTTTGACCTCGTGAATGTTTTTGGTTGATTTGGCTGGGGTGCTTATGTTTTGTCACCACATCCATCTCGTTAGGTACAAAGTAGACCCTCAGCGCAGCCATATCAGCAGCTCAGCAGCCATAGTTCACCATGATCAAGAGGACGCTCCAACAACACACGCACACACCACAACAACAACAAATGCGTTTTTTTCTAAACCCACCCGCCTCGCAACGATTCAGATCTGGCCCGATCACATTGAAATCATCTCGGCCCGGGTCTCCAAAACAAAAACATGGAGTAGCTACTATAGTACTAGCTTCTTGCCACTAGTGGTAGTGGCCTCCACCCTAGTAGCGATGGCCTCCACCCGTTTCAGCGAGGATCTCTTTCAGGCTGCCCTTCTTCAGACCTCTGAAGGCTGGTCATGGCCTTGGGACTCGACTCGTGGCCTTGCCGGGCTTCGACGGTGGCATCTGACCGGTGTTGGTTTTCCGTTTCAATGGCACCGGTGTGGGACCCGCAGTGCGGGATCTGGAGGTAGGACCTTCAGTGAAATGGACCTTGGGAGTTATGCAGCGTTGTAGAGGGTACATATCCCATGTTCTAAGGTACAAACAAGTCGGGTCGAAGTAGGTGGAGTCTGAAAAGACTTCTCCTGCAAATGACGTTTTGCGCGTTGATCCTCGTCTCGCAGATGTTGCGAGACTTGGTTCTTCAGAGCTGTTGCAGTTCACACAAACAGAGCTGCAGTGGACATGTAGATCGTTTGTAAGCTGCAGTACAAAGGGTGTTGAGGGTAGATCGTTTGTAGATCATTGAATTGTTCCAGAGCTGCGGTGGATTATTTTTGATCCTTAACACCCTCAAGGACAATTCTCGTGAAGAATGGGTTGTAACATGCTGTAACAATCGATGTGATCTGACCATATTTGACCCCGGGTGCATTCGAAGACCATTAAAAGAAAGGTTGACCCGGGTTTTGTAGTCTAGATTCCTGATGAACACCTGATTGTTTGGTCCATTGACAAAATCGTGTTTAGAATGCTAGGGTGACTATAGAAATGGAGCTCATACAGGGCCCGCTGAACATTTAGACTTGGCTTTCCATGGTGGGGTTCACCCCTCATGATGAAAAGGCAACAAGACCACTACTGTAACCCATCATCTCCCATAGGTTAAGGCTCCTCCTCATTTCGACAGATGATTTTTTTTCAAGAGAAGCCACTCTCGTTTCCAGGAGTTCACCCATAAGACACCTCCGCCCACCCTTTCACGACCCATCCTTTCATGTCTCCTTTTCCGCACACAACCAGCCGACCACCCGTGTGGGAACTCATTCTTCGGCCTGCCGACCAGCCGCGACCGCCTGGAGGCGGCTCTTTGAGCTTCTCCCACATGGATCTCGGGACCGGGGCGGCCTCCACGTGCCACGACGCGACGCGGGAGTCGTTCACCCTGTCCGCGCGGAGTGGTGTTTTTTGATCTCTGAAGACCTGGACCCTCCAGTTTGTACCTTCGAATTCCAGGAGATGACCTTACAACCCACTAGGGATCCAGTCATACCTTCTCAGAAGGTGATGTGTTACTTGGATCCCTATAGGGCAAGAACGGGTATGTAGACTTGTCTTTAAGTTCGGACAGTTCATAGTGACCAGTGCATGGACCATTCCGCCCATCCAGCCAATCTTAAATGAATTGGTTTAAGGGAAAATCTGCAGGAAACCCTTGTTTTCATCTCAAAACCTATGGTTTTCCTGTAGATTTTCCCTTAAACCAATTCTTCAAATCTTGGCCAGAATGCTGTGTATGTGGATTGCCAATCTGTCCGGTGGTAAGCACAGAGTGTAACCACAGGCTGGCGGGGGGAAGAACGCCCTGAAAGTGTAGCAATCAGCTCCGGAGCCATCCATCGATATTTCACTTTGATCGGCTAGTTGAGGGTCGGCTGCTAGCTCTCTAGCGATGCACGGCTCAAAGTTTTTGAGCATGCACTCATATCCCTGGTCTTTTCGTCAAGCCAAATGGGGAGAATCGTGGTTTCTCAAAGTAGAGGAAGAAGAGAAGCGACCTTCTGTGTTTGGAGGGCTGAGTTTGCCAGTCTCCTGCAAGATCAAAAAATAACACACCAAAACGTCTATTGGTGCATCCGGGTGATGTAGATGTTCCCTATACATCACATATATATATATATATAGGTGCATCAAGCAGGTGCATCGTATTCTGTTTTTGAAAACCACAGACATGGGTGGCTGCAGACGGACGGTTCAGGTCGGTTCCGGGGGTAGACGTGTGCCACGAAACGAACACGAAGCGAAGACGTTGGCCTGACCTACCGGTGAATGATTTGGCCTAGAGAATGAGTGAAGAATGAGTAAAGTGGCCACGAAATCTGATGTTTGGAGAACTTGGCCCGGCGCCGTGTGAGGCAAATCATGGCAAATCTGAACAAACATCACTGGATACAGGTCTCTCTTCGCACCTTCTCTGCGGTCCCGGCAAAAACCCGTCTCAGTTTTTTCTGCGCCTCCAAAACGTGTGCAGGACCGGGACCGACTGCGAAGAGCTGATTTTCCAGCTGAAGGTGCGAAGGGGAATCGGGGATCTGTCGAGGAAGCGGTCGGTCACAGTCGAGAGGTTTTGATCTTTTGGTTCACAAAACTCAAATTGCTTCTTGGTACGAACGTAGTAAGAATGCTACTTGTAGTGATGCCAGGAGCCCCGTTCGTAGCGTCCGAACGCTCCTAGTAGTAAGGCCAGGAGCCCCTAGTAGCGTTCCAAAGTACTATCATCCCCAAGTTCATCAAAAGTACTTCACAAAAGGGATACTCTAGATGGTAGAGGTGCCTGTTCGTACATCGGGTGCGAACGAAGTCGGGTCCAGGTACAAGCCAAGCCATTTTAGAATACATCGGGTGCGACACATATCAGGACCGAAGTCGAACCACACATGTCACAGCACATGTCAGATTTCGCGGGGCAAATGTCAGAACAGAGGCCAACAAGGACATCAGAACACAGCCCAGAGCATTTCCCAGCTATTAATGCTATAGTTGATGTGCCAGAGCACATACCAGATGTGTCAATCCACATGTCAGGCCACGTTTGTTTGGATAGCTTGTCAATTGCATGTGCCCTGCCTTCTTTCAAATCGCCTCTCAGGTGGGGATCACTCGAAGTCAAGCAATTTTTGTTTTTTGGGGGTTTGGTGACTATGTCACACAGACAGCAAGTGCAAAGGGAAATGAAGCCTTCTTATCACAAGCAAACAGTAGCCAACATATAATATATATACTAGCATTAAGACAACAACGAGATAGCAGTACGAAGTAGCAGTACAACATTATATAATACGTAGAAGCTGCACAACATGTGCACTACCAGAGCCCCCTGTTCTGTTTGACGGGTCCTAGTACTTGGACTGGACTTCAGACATGTACTCGAACACCTTCCAGGAACCCCATATGGCCCCACGTTCTGAGGTACTTTCACAGGTCGACTTCAGGTAAAATCTTCTGGCTTGCTCACAATGCTTCAGAACTCTAGGACCCCAGAGGCACCTGTTTGAATGCTCAAAAAATTGAAGGACACTCGGCTACAGTGCCTATTGAAGTACGGTAGAAAGTGGAGTCAATCCTGTCTATGCTGTGCTATACTCAATAAATATTCGAGGCATTCGAGGATTGACTTCTGAAAAGGGAGTCTGTGGGACACAAACTATCCCTGTGCCATCCAGAGTTCCTGGCCATACTCAAGCCGCTGACCAATTCAGTCAACCTGCTTGCACACCACCCAGCAATTCCACGCGCGGGTTTACACACGTCTCGCGTCGCTGGTCTCAGGCCGAACGAGAGTTGCGGAACACAGAGAAGGCGCCGGCGCCGGGCGACCGCAACCGCAGTCACCGCAGGGGTGGCGATGGATGGCGGTTCGGATGGCGGATTGTTCTTCATGGCGGTTCTGATGTGTTGAGTGACTGACATCTGAACCTGCGTTTCGTCGCCATGACCCTCTCCCCATGACCCTTGGCACACCCGTGAGGCTTTGAGGCTTTGGTTTTCATTTGGAAGAAGATCAACACGATGAGCCACCCCAGTCTAGCATGCAAACGAATCCCCCGATGCTTCACAATGGGCAACGCCTCCAATCATTCCTCGTCCGATGCCATCTTCTTGGGAAGGTTTTGGTATGAGGAAACCGCGTAGTACGACCTCCGGCAGAGAAGTAGACAAATTGACAGCCATCAATTTGGAGATCTCCCTACACCAATTGCCAGGACGCTAATAGGGGCTCCTGGCATCGCTACGAACGGAGCGTTCGGGCGCTACTAGTAGCAAGGAAGCTACTTGTACGACGCTCTTCGTTGGCGGGCTCGAGATTTAGGTCCGACACGTGGGTTCACATGACCAGCCACAGCATGGCGAAGCTGCGAAGCTGCACAGATGAACGGCACAGCACTGACACAACCCACCAGGACTGCGTAGGTAGGAAGGACTGCGACCCAACAGGTCTCTTCCCAGGCGAGCTGCGGACGGGAGAGATCGGCCAGCACGTGGGTCGAAGAATAGAACCTTCTACTTTGGGCTGCAACTGGCGTGAATGTTCGTTATGAGATCTGAAGCCAGTTTCTTTTTTTTTTTGGCATAGGTCCTTCCTTCTGCTTGCGTCTTGATTAGGTGAGAATGGTGACTGAAGCTAATTGGCGCAATATCAGTACAGTTTTGAAGTCTGTTGTGGATCATCAGTCTGGCTCCCATGCTCCACGTTTAGCTTTTGGCTTCCCATTGATATAGACAGTAATTACTGTACCTGCTTTTGTAGGGTCATGAAAGAACGCTAGTAATTAGGTTGGAGGCCATCGCTAGTAGGTTGGTTCCATGTGTCCGTGCCAGGCCATGACCACCATGGCTGAGCAGTGGATGCCAATTCCAGGTGCGAACGTCCAAGGTCATTGGAAAGAGCCTCAAAGTAATTTGGAAAACGGGACAGTGTCATAGCCACATGACCCTATCCTACCCAGTCAGTGGATAACCTTTAGTAGCCATTTTGAGGGAGTTGGTTCCCCACTCAATATGAACAGATTGGCAAAAACCTTAAAAAGCTTAACCTTTTCAAGGGACACTGAGGGAGTCAGCTATTATACTTGAGAAGCTACTAGTAACAAGTGCATCGCTACTAGGAGCAAGGACGCTACTAGGGGTTCCTGGCCGTACTACTAGGAACAAGAAGCTACTAGTAACAAGGGCATCAGTCGGTACTCATTGTTCGATGTACGAAGAGAGGTCGAGGTATTGGTGCTCGAGTGCGGGCTCGAAGACGAGGGATCGTCGGGTGGGATCGTCAAGGCCTTGGCATCCAACGTGTGCGTCATTCTTCCTTGGGCTCGTCTTTCGTAGGCTTTCTCGTCAAGTAGGTCATTCCCTCATCCTTTGCCAAGCGCCAGTGATCTTTTTGGGGGGGTCTCCGAATGTCTCTCCAAGTTCCTTTCAGCATGAGCTGAACAGCGCTCCGCTTTAAACGCAGCTTTTGTTTTGGGAGCAAAACACCTATCTCGGTCTCGTTTAGTTTGACCGGCATCAACACTTTCCCAGCGCCCCAGCGCCCTCGCCCCTCCGTGTCGCTACGCGCTACGCGGGACGCGACGACGAGCGACGAGGCAACATGAGTGCGACGACGCGATGTGTTCCCGGCAGTGCCACCCTTGGTGCGGCGGTGGGACGGAGGACGCTACAAACGGGGCTCCTGGCCTTACTACTAGGAGCGATCGGACGCTACTAGTAACAAGTGCATCGCTTCTAGTCACAAGTGCCTTACTAGTAGTAACAAGAAGAAACGAACGGGGCTCCTGGCCTTACTACTAGGAGCAAGTAGCTAAGCTTTTAGTATGGATGGTGGGGGAAGTGGGTCCGCGCGAGGAGACCGGAGGAGTGACCTTGGTACATGGCACAGCTATAGTTGCACCCCTGAGACACGTCCCACCCACTAAGACCTTCACAACCATGTGGGATGAACAGCCTCCAATCTGCTAGCGATGACCTCCAACCTAATAGCGATGGCAAATTCACCTGAACTCAATCAATTGGGTTGCAACGTACCCAGCGGTGCATAGAGCCTCGAGAAAGATTGTTGGCGCTAAAGGGGAACCCGCGAAACGCTTCGAGGTTCCTTGGATACATTTGGTCCAGGCTTGCGAAATAGACCATGACTGTACGGTTGGGTGTCCTCTTGAAGTACTCACCGGTTTGGATACATCGGCTGGGTCTCCAACCTAACAGCGCTGGCCAACCTGTGCAGCTTCAAGACACGACGTTTGGTGGGACTAGTAGAAACAATAAGCTACTAGGAACAAGACTTTAAGTCGACCTCGACGACGAACTCGTCCATAGTCGACACGAGGGTTCGGGTCAAGTGTCCCACGAGGGTTTGACTCGTGTGAATCGAAAGCTGGAAGTATTCTTGAAGTCTAGGAGCCTTCATAAAGAAATCCTGCCAGTTCCGCCTGGACCTCAATCAGCTGAATCTGTGGGAAGATCAGCCCAACAGAGCGCAGATGAGGCACTGGCCCCATGTACAGCCCAGAGGACGCAGAGAAGGGACGCAGAATTGGAGACGATGAAACAATATGAAAAGAATTTGGGATTGTTCAATGTTGGATTCAATTGGAGCGGTGAATGTGTTTTCTGGTGCAAGAACATGGGGATGTGCAGAAAATGGTGGTTTTCACAAGGATTTGTTGTCCAATTCAACTCTATGAGCTTGCATCTTGATGTCGATTGAAGCAGGTGTAATTCACAGCAAAGTCAGCGGCCTGAGCGCTGAGTTGAACCCATGTTGCACAAACAAGTCGCCAGAAAAGCGCAAGTCTTGGTGTTGTGGCAAGTCTTGAAAAAAACAGTAGAGGTACTGTACCCACTGCACACACACACACATAGTCTCATGAATTTCACTAGATTTGGGTATAACTATTGTATTTGGGGAGTATTAGATTACAAAAAGGACTGCGCTCTTTGAAGCCCACCTCACCAAACCACCTGTCCGACCACTTCGCAAGATTTGCTAGCTCTTCCAACTATTCACCATTTCCACTATAGGTGGGTAGCGTTCGGATGCTCTACTAAACAAGGTGGAGGCCATCGCAAGTAGGTTGGAGACCATCGCTACTAAACAAGAAGCTACTAGGAGCAAGAAGCTACTGGGGGCTCCTGGCATCGCTACTAGGAGCAAGGACGCTACTAGGGGCTCCTGGCCGTACTACTAGGAGCATCCTTACTACTAGTAACAAGAAGCTACTGGGGGCTCCTGGCATCGCTACAAGGAGCAAGGACGCTACTAGGGGCTCCTGGCCGTACTACTAGGAGCATCCTTACTACTAGTAACAAGAAGCTACTAGAGGCTCCTGGCATCGCTACTAGGAGCAAGGACGCTACTAGGGGCTTGTGGTCGTATTAGTAGGAGCATCCTTACTACTAGTAACAAGAAGCTACTGGCGGCTCCTGGCATCGCTACTAGGAGCAAGGACGCTACTAGGGGCTCCTGGCCATACTAGGAGCATCCTTACTACTAGTAACAAGAAGCTACTAGGGTCTCCTGGCATCGCTACTAGGAGCAAGGACGCTACTAGGGGCTCCTGGCCGTACTACTAGGAGCATCCTTACTACTAGTAACAAGAAGCTACTAGGGCTCCTAGCATCGCTACTAGGAGCAAGGATGCTACTAGGGGCTCGTGGCCGTACTACTAGGAGCATCCTTACTACTAGTAACAAGAAGCTACTAGGGGCTCCTGGCATCGCTACTAGGAGCAAGGACGCTACTAGGGGCTCCTGGCCGTACTACTAGGAGCATCCTTACTATTAACATGAAGCTACTGCGGGCTCCTGACATCGCTACTAGGAGCAAGGACGCTACTAGGGGCTCCTGGCCGTACTACTAGGAGCATCCTTACTTCTAGTGACAAGAAGCTACTAGGGGCTCCTGGCCATACTACTAGGAGCATCCTTATTACTA